GGGATACGCTGGGCCGGGAAGGATTCATCAGACCTGTCCTTCGATTCGGGCCAAAGGAAGGACGTATTTGTCGGACGCATCGGAGGAGTCTTCCGTTTTGGWCGTCCTTCGTCGCGGCGCTGTGACGTATGCGGCCGACGAATTCGACCTTCGGAGGACCCGTCCTGCCGTTTTGGACACAGCCGTTGTTTGCCAGCCGCCATAAAACACCACACAAGAAGAAGAAGAAGAAGAACTTGGCAGCCATTTTGTCACCCATGTGGTGACATAAAAACATGTTTCCTATTGTGTTTTTTGGACAGTTAGCTGACTAAACTTGCTGTTAAAGAGGAAATGTATTTGTTATGTAGTGTTATGAGTGTTTCAAGACAAGGAAGAATGATTTTTGTGGCCAGGAAATGTCATAAAACAAGGAATTAAATTTTCGTCCTGGCTGCCATTTTGGAAAGAGGAGAAATGATGCATCAAAAGTAAGTGAAAAGCRTTTATGTTTTACTGTTGATAGTTTTATAAGCTGTGTGGTTTGTCATGCTTTGAAAAAAGTGATTATGTTTTTAAGTGCCTGTGACATCAAATTTTTGTAATAAGTGAATGAAAACACGTTGCAAAACGAATTTCACACTGCTGTGGTGAACGATTGTTGAGATGTTTGCATGTGAAGAAACAGGAAGTGATGCCAAAGGGGAATATCTGCACGTAAACAGAGCATTGCTACAATAATGAGAGAAGAATATGATGTTTTTTAGATTATTTTGAGTCACTATCAAAGATGAAGAAGAGTTTAAATAAGATTGTTTCAATGAACAAAGATTGGRGTTTCTTTTCTTTAAGAGCTCCCCTTTGATGTCACTTCCTGTTTCACTTTGCTGAGCCAAATTCAAGAGAAAACAGACAAAATGGCTAAAATTACGTTTATGTTAATTTTCTTAAATCTAAAGATGTTTGACTGTATTTGAAGGATAAGTATGTCACAGGCCCTTTAAGCTTTGGCTGTTTGTTGGTGGGGATTTGCTGCGTGTCCCCCAGCTGTGMTTCTTTTGGCTAATTATTAATATTTTATTTATTTTGTATTTTAATTCTACAGTGAGTAAATATGGATGGTAAAATATGATTTATGGGGTTTAATATTTCATTTGAGCCCTCGGTGAAGTTTCTGTGTTGAAGTATTTTGGAAATATTTCTCCAGTTTGGTCATTTGCTGGAGACCTGTCCAAGTATGATTGAAATGCTGGATTTTATTATGTCTCAAATATTCATTTTTGATTTTGTTGTTACACAATTTGAACTGGCAATGTTCTGAATCTATCTTTTATCCCAATATATTTTACTTAATACCACCTCTCCTTCTTGTTCTGGAACATTTAAATAAAAAAAAACTGTTAAGTTATGACTCATGAAGTTAAAATTTCAGATTGATAGATTTACACTGATACTACGCAGTTTAATTTACTCCAAAGGGTTTAAAAGTTAAACAATTTGGGCATGCTTTTAAACAATTTTTTTGCAAATA